TGTGTCGTATGTGACACAATGTCTTCTTGATTCCAAGATGTACTCCTGTTAAACTATCATGGGATTGACGCAACACAATTTCCCGTAACTTTCTCGGTATAACCGTTTGCCAGGTCGTCACTTTCCCATCTGCAGTTTCCCATCTCCGGAGAAGAATACCATCTTCAAGCCTCAACTGGTCTTATTGTGCCCAATAGTTCTTTGTCACAGGGCTTAGACTAGACACCTTCTCCCAAGCAGGGCACAAAACACTTGCTTTGAGAAAATCAATTATTGGTTTCAAATCTTGGTCTTTCTCCTGTTCTGCTTTGATATCTATATTTGGTTCCATTTCACCATCATCAACTCCTTCAGTCACTTTGACTTCAGCTTGATGGCACCTGGTTAGTTCAACCTCTGTTTTGCAGCAATATCTGCAGTCATTTTTGCAGGGTCTTCGGCTCAGTCCATCTGCATTTCCATGACATTTTCCTTCTCTGTATTCAATATCATAATTATACTGGTCTACATTTCCGATCCAACGTGCCAGTTGTCCTTCTGGGTTCTTTAATGATCTTAACCAGCGTAATGCAGCATGGTCTCTCCTGATGGTAAACCTACCTCCATAGAGGTAAGGAAATATGTCAGACTCTTTACTATAGCAAAAAGTTCCCTCTATGTTACACAGTAGTTCCTCTCTGGTCCAGTCAGGACGCTACTGAAGTAGGCCACCACATGTTCGTTTTCACCCACTTTCTGAGACAACACTCCTCCAATTCCGACATTACTAGCATTACAATCCAGTATGTATGGCAGTGAGGGATTTGGAAGCTTTAAAAGTGGAGCTGAGACCAATATTTCTTTCAATGTCTTGAAAGCATGCTGTCCATTCGAACCTCTGGCCTTTTCTGGTCAAATCATATAGTGGAGCAGCTATAGTTGCAAAGTCCTTCACAAACTTCCGGTAATAGGTACAGAGTCCCAAGAAACTTCGTACCTCTTCCACATTGTCTGGTGTTGTCCAATCACACACTGCTTTCACCTTGTCAGGATCAGTTCGCACACCATGTTCACTTACAATGCGACCCAAGTAAAGCACTTCTTTCTGGAACAAGTGGCATTTCTTGGGATAGAGTTTGAAGTTTGCTGCTTTCAAATGCTTGAATACTTCCTCTAGCCGGGACATTTCCTTGTCAAACGTTGTTGTAAACACAATGAGATCATCCAGGTGCATTAGGGCTATCCTACATTGTAGGCCTTCCATCAGCCTCTCAAATGTTGCTGGGGCATTGCTAAGCCCAAATGGCATCACACAGTATTGCCA